CCTGGGCATCCCAGTAATATTAGTGTCTGCTACCTGAACCCTGTTTTAGCATCACTTTTCATAGCATCTTTGCCTCCAGTAGTTTCTTATTCCTAGGCTGATATCCTGCTTCCCTTCCTGAGACATACTCAGAAATTGAATCTTTTCTACTGGGAAAAATGTATTCCTTCACTAGAAAAAAATATGTAATTAAGTTAATTAAATATGAAGTTAGGGATATTTTTGCAAACCTTGGAACAATATTCTTTACTATCAACCTCTCCCCTTTGCTCATTATCGTTTCTAAAAACTGTGCGAACCAAGAACTGCGCTGATTAAGAATTAATTAATTGAATGCAATCAGTGCAGTATTTTGGATTTTCTATTCATTAAATCTAGTGCTAGCAGAAAGATTATTGAAGTTTCTGGATCTAACCACTGTTGTTTAGCATCTATGAGACTGTACATGATGACTTAGACACCCAGTGTTTCAGGTTCCCAATGTCTCAGCTTCTTCATCTACAACTTACAGGAAGCAATGTTCATGGAATTGTGTAGAAACAAATCCGATATTATATGTGAATTATTGGGAATTATACCCATTACAAAATGCAGACCCAACAGACAGTAACTAGCTAAATTAGTAAAAGATAAATATGTCATCACACTGAATACAATTCTAACTCAGAGAAAGGGTTTTGATTTGATAACCCTAGCACCAGCCCATAATCTCAGTTAGATACTCAGGAAGCTGAAACAGGAGTATCTCAAGTTCAAGGTCAACCTGAGCAACTAGTGAGGCCCTGTTTCAATATAAAAAAGTAAAAAAAAAATATTTCTAGGTATTCAGCTCAATCACATGCAGCTCAATAGCAAGAATTTGCCATACATGTGCAAGCCCTGGGCTTGACCCTCAGAACTAAAAAAAAAAATGTTAAAAATACTGGACATTTTAGTTATGTACGCTATTCTTTTCCTGTATGAGATAATTTCTTATTGTTTACTACCAGGACTTTGTTCTGTATGTTTCCTCTATCACAGAGCCCAGAGTGTTGGCTGTGTGAGGAAACAGGTGATGTAACAGATGTTTTCTATGTCAGGCTTGGTGGAATCAGAGGGAAGGAGGTATTTGTGAGTTCAAAGCAGCCAGGGCTACATGATGAGTCCCCCCTCAAAAAAAGAAGTGTCTCCCTACATCTTTAAGTATTCTCTTAGTTCTTACTTCTTCAAAGGCATGTACTTGTTCTTTTTCTTGGAAAAATCTCTTTAAGCTTTAATTTTGTGATGGCCATTCCTTCTTAAGCAATGATGATTCTTAGAAAACCAAACACTTTGCAGCCAGCCACTGTTGTAAGATACTTGTTTTCCTGTGTTTCAGGCAATCCTCTCCATCACCTCCATTTTTTTACTCTCTAGAATGGGAAGAAGAATCAATGACACAGATTGTGATTTCATGACATTTATCTCCACTTTAAGATAAAACACTGAATTGAGAAAATTTTATATATAATTTGTAAAAAAAGGTCAAGAAAGGGATTTATACAAATGATTATGTATAGAACACGACATAAATTTACAGAAGCATGCATACAGTTAGGTACGCACAAGGATGGTCAGCAAACAACTAACTGAATGTACAAGGGTGGTCCCATAATAATATAATGGAATTTAAGGATCGCTATGACTTAGTGCCACAAGCCATTGGAACATTATGAGGGGACATACTATATTGCTCTTGTCTGTGGTGATGCTGTGGTAAACAACCCACTGACCAAGCAGTGTATTCAGTGCCAATGTGTAGAATGTAAACTGTATAATAATAAACAGCTAAGCTGCTGTGTTATGCACCTATTGTGCTATGACATGTCTTGTCATTTCAGCATGTCCTCTTCTACTTACAGAGAACAATTTGCTGCAAGCAGTATGCATCAACCAAGCAGCAGCTTTGTACATCTTGAATTTACCAACACTGCATTGTCTCCTCTAGTGCTTGACTTAATCTTGTGCTGTGTTAGTCACATGGTCCCACAGAGTAAAGAGTCTAGCTATGTAGTAACCCATGCCATTAAGCTCCATGTAAATACACAGCAATGTTCATAGGGTGATGAAACTGCTGCATTTTGCATGCTCCACAGAAATTAATCATAGGTCAGCAATGTACAATGGCATACACATATTTGGAAAAGTAGAAAGGTTGTTTCTACACTAATTCCTGCAGTTGCTTTTATTTCATTTCCTGTAGTCCATTTTAATTTCCTGTTGCTTATTGAAGATGAAATCTACATTCTGGAATGCCATAATAAATGTGGCTCCTTCACTCTACTGTGAGTCAGTGAGACGGATCAGCTGGCCCATTAGCATGATGGCAACTTAGTCACATGTAGTATTAGAGATATTATGTCACCTGAGGTATAAACAGAGCATACTGAGGCCATATTTGGGGACCCAGAGAGGGGTCAGCAGTTAAAAGGGCTTCGTGTTCTTCTTGTAAAACAAAGTTTGGTTCCTAATCCACAGTAGGTGCCTACTGACTGCCTATAACCCCAGCTCTAGGAGACACAACATCTGGCCTGTCTACATGAAGATGTACATATACTCACACACGCACACACACGCACACATACGCACACACACAAATAAAAAGTAAAAATAAATCTTTTTTAAAAGATCAGTTTTATTGTTCTAAGTTTTCTTTTACTGTGGAAATTCATTGCAGACACTGTTTTCAGAATACCATAAAAATAAAAAATTACGTAAAGTAATTTTAGGAGTTTGAAAAAAGGCACACAGTCACTAAATACAGAAGTACCATTCCTACACTTCTGAAAAAGTAACCAGCAACAGTAATAAGTTATTCATGGAATTGCAGCCCAAGGAATTGAGGGACTTAAACTGATGGTTCAAAGAACCAGTCTTTTATCTTTGGTTGTGATATTTCTCTCTTATATAATAAAATGTCATAGTCTTCTAAGCAAAATTCCATATCTTACTAGCTAAATGGTTTGTTTTTGTTTCCTTTTAATGTTAAAACCCATATTAAATCTTGATGTAGGAGTCACAGTAAATGTTTTCCTGTTGTGCAAATACAATGTTGTTTGTTGAAATCTAACATCTGCAAGGCACCAATAAGATTATCATTTGGGAGACAGCAGAAGGAAGATTAAATAAGTTCTCCAAATCATTCCAGGAGCAATTCATTGTTATTTCTTAAACTGTTCTCAGAAAGGAAGGCAAAAGAAGGGAATAGGCAATTTAATATGAGGAGATTGAAAGAGATTGGAGAGATTGAAAATTGTGTTTTTAATGTTTTCATTTAAAAGATCTATTCACTTAAACATATGGAAGAAAAACTTCACTGAATGCATTTCTTACTAATTTAAGCATAATATTTGATTGTCAGGATCTCTAGGTCATATGTGTCCTGAGAATAGACTTGAGAAAGCATACCACAGAAACACCACAGTGTTAGTATTTTCAATGAATCACCTAATTTCCTGAAGTAAAAATTCTGTAATAATTCACTTGAACTATTTCTGTCTTTACTGGAGGTTTTTTTAAAGATAGGCAGCCCATAAGTCAACTTCACAGTAGAAGATAACCTGGACCTTGATGTGTCCATATTATGTACTCTTGATGAATGGCATGGGTCAATGTAATTTCCTTTCTGTAGGTTGTTAATTTATCCTATTTTTGCTGATGAAATCATGTTACTATTGCTATAGACTATCAGACTACAGTTCTTTCTGTATGATTTTCCACCACAATTGTTGTTATTACACAGGAAACATCCCTTTAATGCAAAGAGAAGAGCGATAACGATTTCATTTTGAAACAGAGAAACCAAAATCCCAGAGGTGTCAGAGTAATACAGAGATGGACCTTGGAACCCAGAGTATGTGTCACTAGACCCAGGTCCTTCCATCAAGTGTAGTAGGAATGAATATTTATTAAGAATTAGTACCTCTCATACCTTTACTTATCAACTAAGCTTTTATATATTATCCCTCCCTAGACTAACAAAAAATGAAAGTAGTGTGGTTCCTAATTTTACTTTCTTTGATGGATTCACTATACAGATCTTTTGAAGGCATGAACATGAGACCATCAAAGTAATCTCTGAAAAATGAAGGAATGTTTGCCAGTTATTACAATGCTCTATGCCTTACTAATAAAAATGATCACAAGTAATTATAAAATGCCAAGGAACTGAACAGGTGACACACGCACTATGATTAAAAATTGAACAAAGTAAGGATTCTGTAATTGATCCTACTATAGAAGCAATTTTGATCAATAGGTCAATCATTTAATTCATTGTAGTGGGAAGAGTGTTAATAAATTTAGAAAAAAAGCAAAATAACCTCAGACTTATTCTTCATAAAATATAAAAACTAAGAGAAAATACATAGAAGAATCTTATTGAATTATATAAACAAGGACCATAATTATCATATGGAGTTGAATAGATAAAAATAAAATTAATGGATACATTGAAAGGTTGAATGCACTTAATATTGACAATGAATGATAAACTTAGAAAATAATTGTTTGGGAGGCAGTGAAGTAAATGTATTATTTATGGGAAGCCTCACATACAAGTCTAGTAGAGAAAGGGAGGAGCAGTAAACACAAATTTAAAACAGTGAAATAATTTTAGCTGTAAGATTGCCAGAGATTGAATCTAAATAATTATATGCAATGTTGACAAGAAAATAAAAAGAAACACTGTCATGAAATGTTATACAAGTGTAAATAAATATCAACATTTGGACAAGAATTCGGCAACATCTGTTTGTATGTGTAGGAAGGATTGCGAGAATGTAGTTTACACTGTGGAGTGGTAGGCAGAAGTTTTTCTAGTAATTTTCATAATAATACTTATATCTCGATTTTGTTAAAGTTAGTTTGATTGTGGATAATTTTTCATCCAATACTAGACTCAATAGAAGGGAGATCCATAATGTTAAAACAATCATTTTTAACCCAAATATCTATTTGCAGGTTTAAGGTGCCCCGAGACGATGACAGGAGGGAGGAACAATACAGCCATCACCAAGTTCATTCTTGTGGGATTCTCAGATTTTCCCAAGGTCAAGCTGGTTCTCTTTGTTGTCTTCCTAGGAATTTATCTCTTCACAGTGGTGTGGAACCTGGGCCTCATCGTCTTGATTAGGATTGACCCTTACCTACACACACCTATGTACTTCTTCCTCAGCAACTTGTCATTTTTGGATTTCTGGTACATTTCCTCCACAACCCCTAAAATGCTCTCAGGATTCTTCAGGAAGCACAAATCCATCTCCTTTATGGGGTGCACCATGCAGTACTTCTTCTTCTCAAGCCTGGGTCTGGCAGAGTGCTGTCTTCTGGCAGCCATGGCTTATGACCGCTATGCTGCCATTTGTAATCCTCTGCTCTACACAGCCATCATGTCCCCTTCCCTCTGTGTGCAGATGGTGGTGGGAGCCTATATCACTGGTCTCTTTGGTTCATTGATACAACTGTATGCTATACTTCAGCTCCATTTCTGTGGGCCAAATGTTATAAACCACTTCTTTTGTGACCTGCCTCAGTTATTAGTCCTGTCATGCTCTGAAACCTTTCCCCTGCAAGTTCTGAAGTTTGTGATAGCAGTGATTTTTGGGGTGGCATCTGTCTTAGTCATCCTGATATCCTACAGTTATATTGTTGGCACCATCATGAAGATAAGCTCAGTAGACGGTAGGGTCAAGGCTTTCAATACTTGTGCCTCTCACCTGACAGCAGTCACCCTCTTTTTTGGATCAGGACTCTTTGTCTACATGCGACCCAGCTCTGACAGTTCTCAGGGTTATGACAAGATGGCATCAATCTTCTATACAGTTGTGATCCCCATGTTGAATCCTTTGATTTACAGTCTCAGGAACAAGGACATCCAAGATGCTCTTAAGCGATATAAGAAGAGGTGCCTTTCCCGTTGCCACTGTTAAAGGTTTGTCAGGCTAGTGACTGTTGACTGGAAGTCCTTACACTCTGCAGGGATATTTAACATGATTTAAATATCCTAAATGCTGTGGTAGAGTTGCAAATGAGTCACTCAATCGCATTCCAGGGCTGGCACATGCTATGTGAATCCTGTGTCCTGTCTCTCTCAGCCTTGAAGTTGGTTCCTCTTCTGTACCAGCATGGCCTCACAGAGCAGTTGATACATCTTTCCCCCATTTTTTGCAGTAAAGGTCTTTTGTTCTTAAGTTCTCAACTCTTGTTTTCTTTCAGAATTTCAGATACTAAGCTGAAGAAAGAGGATAAAACACGAGGCCAATGACCCTTCTCAATCACCACATCTCAGGCAGTATAAGGACTGTGTCTGAGATTCAGACTCTTGAGATGTGTCCTGGCTGATTTTTCAATCATCTTGACACAAGCTACAGTGATCCAGGAAAAGGGACTGTAATTGAGAAAATTCATCCATCAGATTGCCTAGGGGCAATTTTGTAGGGTATTGCCCTTTTTTTGTTTGTTTTGGTTTGGTTTGGCTTGGTTTTTTGTTTGTTTTTCAAGACAGGGTTTCTCTGTATTGTTTTGGAACTCACTCTGTAGATCAGGCTGACCTTAAACTCACAGAGATCCACCTGCCTCTGCCTACCAAATTCTAGGATTAAAGGCGTGGACCACCAACGGCTGGCTGGAAATTGTCTTTTAATGCTTGATATGGGTTGGCCCAGCTCACTAGGGGCACTGCAACCCCTGGGCTGGTGTCCCTAGGTGCTATTAAAAAAAAGTAAATTGAGAAGTGGGGAGCAAGACAGAAGTCTCCAGCACTGCCTCTGCTTCAGTTCCTGCTTCTAGGTTCCTACCTTGAGTTTTTTTCCTGACTTCCCTTTATGGTGGACTGCAAGATATAAGCTGAAATAGACCATGTCCTTCCCAAGTCACTTTTGGTCATGGTGTTTTATCACAATAGAAACCCTGGTTAGGACAAAGTGCTCAGACAAGTTTCAATAGACAAAGATGAGAATGTGGGGAAAGTGTCATTCTAAACTTTGACCTAAATTTTATCTGCCCAGGAAATATGAAATAAAGTGTTTGTTCTAGAACTTGTTTCCTAGGCTTTTATTTTCAGAACCACACATAAAAAGCCTACAAGTGAATGAAGAAGAGGATTTTAATAATACTACACTACACTTGGGTAGGGTCATGTCTTTGTTTCTGTCATTGGTGTCCTATCTGGAATGATGTTGTGAGACACTATTACTAGGGAGATCCCAACAAATGTCTACTTACCTCCAGTAGAGAACTGATGACAGACTGAAGTATCAATATCAAAGTCCAACTTGGTGAACCAATGAGTTTTATTGGGGTCACTTACAAGAATATGGATGAGAGGTTGCTTTCTGAAGCAGAAATGTCTCAAAGAGAGATGTATCATCAAAATCCATCCCAGAAATGGATGACAGATCACAAAATCTGGGGACCTGGAGCACATTGCACAGATTGTAGACAGCTCAACAGGTTGGAGAGTGTCCTTTCCAGGTGGCTCAGATATTTTGAGCCTTTTCCAGGTGGCTCGGCTGGTCTTTGTGACTTCCAGGAGACTGGGCTTGTCTGAGGTTGACTTTTAGGAACTTTCACTGCTTATATACTCTTGGTAAGGGAAGGCCTAGTAAGTCTAGTCAGTTTCAGGGACTTCCTAAACCTATGTGAGTTGTTTACTGCCTGTATTAAATGAACTTCCCTGCAGAATGAGATGTTTCAATTTCCTAGGAAACTACCAATAGGTGAGTAGACATTTGTTTATATCTCCCAGGAAATTTTACACAACACTTGGTGCTCAATCATGGGACAGGACAGAAACAAAGCTGAGTTAGGAGAAGCACTTTCATTGTCTGCTGTGAATGACAAGGCATACAGTTGAAGCTAAGCTTCCTGAGGGTGGAACAGCCATGGGGCAATCCTAATGTAGCTATCCTTCCTAATGTGGCATAGAACAGCATGCATCCTTGCTGCAATACTAGTTGTACCATCCCGGCTATAAATGAGAAAACATGTAACTATGATCAATTTATCTTAAAGTGGAATGTCCCTTGGAGGAAATCCCAGAGTAACTGTCTTCTTGTATGTGGTATGGAATGGCAAGTATGAGGAGTGAATATGTGGATGCCTCTCAAATGACTGTATGGAGTGGGATTGTATGTAGACTGTGGCAGCAATTATGTGGTCCTTGCTCTTGGAAATAACACATGCAACCAAGGCTGAACTGTGAACTCACAAAAAATTTGCCTGTGTAAGGAAAGAGTTGCAATGAGTAAAAGACATGCAGATGCTACTCTCCACAGTAGCCTCTGAACGGACAGAAGAAAGAGAAGATGAAATGGAGATGTTGGCTTCATGGGTTCTTGCTGGAAGATATAAGAGAAAGAGGACACAACTTAGATCCATGCTAAATATACTCTCCTGTGATCCAAAGGCATGCAGTCTATGGGAAGAATTGGTTAATGAAGAGGGGGGAAATGAGGTAGACATGATAGAAGATAACGTTAAAAGGGGGGAAAATCCATGATACAGCATGCAGATGGTCTAGTACAGGAAACTATAATAATCAGAGACTATTTGTGTCTGAACCGCTTGAATTTGGATAGACTTTAAAAGGGAAATTTAAGAAGCTCTTATAGGATTCTGTAAGTAAAAGCATGAGGAAGGATGGGATCAACCTGAGTGCTGGGGGAATGACACAAAGTTCCAAGGACAAGGGATGCATAATAAGTCAACAAGAGGGAAAGTCAGTATCTGACTGCCTGGCTCATCTGAGCCATAAGGAACACTGAACTCTTCTAGGGTCCCTTGAATGTCAGGGATTAGAGAACAATAAATTAAAAGCAAGCATTATTGAGAGAACAGTGTGTGAAATCCACATTTTCTTCAGTGTTGTAGCCGACCATTGTAGTGGCATCTTGTTATGCCAGTGGACTTGATGTGGTGGCCACATCTTAGGGCATGGCTTCAGGTGTGCAGATGTGACCCCTTTTAAGGAAGAGGAGAGGCTGGCTGGATCTTTCTGGGGTTGTGGTTGGAGCATCCTGAAGGGCAAAGACTGCATCTTTTTTCCCCGTTTTTTGAGACAGGGCTTCTCTGTATTGCTTTGGAGGCTGTCCTGGAACTTGATCTGTAGACCAGGCTGGCCTCGAACTCACAGAGATCTGCCTGCCTCTGCTGGGATTAAAGGTGTGTGCCACCATGCCCAGCTAAGAGACTACATCTTCAGGAGCAGGAAGACCACAAGGGTTATTTGCCATCATTGTGTGAGTGCTCCCCTAATAAATACCTGCTAATTCTATATCTGGGTAATTATGTACTCCTATAAATGTGCCTTCAGTCCATAGTTGCCCATAGTCTTGTTAATAATCCTCACCCATGATCCTGCAAGCAACTCCTATTAAACACATTAATTCACCAAGTGAGACTTGAGTGGAGTTGGTTCTTTGGTCTTTCACCATGCTCTATCTGGGGTGAAAAGATATTTGTTCATTTTCCCTAGGCAAAGTTCATATATCACAACTTCTATAAAGCAACAAACGGTACTGGGTGGGGCAATTTTCAGAAAATATCTTAAAATATATTTCTGAGCAAACAAAAATGGAAATGCTCAGCATATAAATTTGCATAATGTAAAAGCAGAAATCCTAAGAACATACGTATCTCTGAAGATAGCTTTTGCACATGGGAGGAATTTATTTAACTCTAAAAATATTGGGGCATGACAGAACATATGAAATTCAAGAAAATGGGGCTGAGAGCCAGATAGGAGACCCATTCACACATACATAAGTTCAATGTAATTACACCTCAATGTGATACAGAATTAAGAGAAGATATTGGACAAGAAAGAAAATTGTGACTCTCTCAAGGCTTTAATTTGGGTACAGGAAGAGTAAGCTGAGACTTTGTAACCATGCTCCTTACTGGAGGCTTGTCTTCTAATATCATATGACCTGTCAGTGCATGGAATTTGTAACTGAGAAACTATTTAACAGGGATTCTGATGGCAAGCACCTTTGAATACAAGGCAATCAAAACCACAGTTAAATCCTCCCTTAAGGTTCTTTATAAAGACATTTTAATTTTTGTCTATGAGTCTATATGTGTGGTGACACCTTACACAGGTATCTGCAAAGGACAGAAGAGGGTGTTGGACACTCTGAAGCTAGAATTGCAGGCAGTTGTGAGCTGACTTACAAGGGTGCTGAAAACTGAATTTGATTCTTTGGAAGAGCAACAAGTGCTTTTAAACACTGAACCATCTCTCTAGCCCCATCTCTTAAGATTCTTAGCAGACCTTGTAAATCAAGAATAAAAACAGTTCTCCCAAAAGGCCAAGAAGACAGGAACATTAGGCCTAAAAAACCATTTATGAACTAAAGAGATAGCTCAGTTGCTGAGCATTATGCCAGCACCTGTTTTGGGCAACTCACAATTGTCTACAACTCTAGCTTCAGAGAATCTATCACTTCCCTTGAACTCTACATGTAGGTAAAGGATTAACATAATTAAATATAGTTAAGAGAAGAGATGGGGTTTAGTAAGGATTTCTGCACCAGTAGTATGTGTGTCTATTCATATATGTATGTGTGGTCCTCATATCTAGAATAACTGAGGTACTGGAATTGAAATAAAGTCGTCTTTTATGTATTATATGTCCTTTCACATTGCAAAATGTGGCATAAGATAGACCCAGGTAAAGCAAAACTGGGCAACCAGGGGAGTAAATTGAGTGCCAAACTGGGTTTTATAGGTCAGAGAATCCTGACAAAGCTCTAGATCACTTGACTGAGTACATTGTGTAGAAGACCTTGGTGGTGAAGGGTTCAACACCAAGTCGAATATGACCCCATGCGACTGAAAGATCACCTTCCTGGAAATCTTAGACATCCCACAGATTGTGTTTAAGAAACAAAATGTCCCGTAGTAAAAAGAAATACAATGTGCAGAGCCA